AAAACGCCCATAAAAACTGCAAAACAAAATGTGAAACCACAACTTTGCATGTATCTCCGCATGGACCCAACAAACCTTGACAAAAAAATTGGTGAGCATCCGTCCACAGGAGGCGAAATAGTGGTAAAAAACGCAAAAACACCCATAAAAACCGCAAAACGCAAAATACAAAACTGAAAATTTGTATGTACCCCCGCATGGACATAATGAACCTCCATACCAATTTTGGTGAAGATCCATCCTCACTTAGCGAGTAGTTACATGAACATACAACACACAGTACTATTATATTTATATAGATATGGAAGAATTGTTCCACTCAAAGATAAGAAAGGTGCAACACTCATAAATGCTTGTAATTAAACATGTATTAAAACAGGGTCAAAAACCCTCTAAACTTCAAACTGATGCTAGAACAGAACTTACAGATCGTCTGTTTTAATGTTATCTCAAGGAACAAGACATTCACTTCTTAACTACACATAATACAACAAAAGTGTCTATAGTAGAAAGTGGTGTTATTTTACTCATCGTAGAACTTACAAGTATATCACTGTATTGAAAAACCTCATCAGTGTCAATAATCAATCTTATCATCACAGTAAACAATGAAATCAATCGATGTTAACCACTCTAAGTTGTCTATGGTGTGGAAAAACCTTTACAGTTTAACCACAACAGTAACTTTTCAATTGAATGTAGGTGATCAAGTACGAATCAGTAAAGTATCAATTTAAGAAAGGTTATATGCTCGGATGGACAAACAAAATCTTTATGATTTAAAAGAGATTAGAGAGAAATCCTCCAGTGTATAAACTTCAAGACTATCTCAGAGAAAAAATAAATAGAACATTTTACAAACCAGAATTACAATGTGTTATCAAGTTCTCAAACGACGTCTATGTTGTGGAAGAAATATTACGCGAACGAGGAATGGATAAAAACAAACAGTATTTCGTAAAATGAAAATGATATCCTGATAAACTTAATAGCTGGATCTCTCAAACATATCTTAATTACCTGCCATCATAAAATGACAAGCATTACTCTATCACTTGTCAGTTGACATTGTTCAACTGTATGTGACGTTACCTAGTAACAGTTCTATGGACTATTTTGTCAACAATAACCACTCATCTTCTGAGATCTATCAATCTTGAGGGTTCGTGGGAAATAGCCTTGGTTGAATTATAGTATCCACAAAGCCATTAGGCCATCACAAAGAGCCTGATGATTTTTAATAGAATCTTAAACCCAATAGTATAATCATTTCTTTGACCCAACAAATAACCTATATTTAATTATGATTCATTCACGTGAAAAGTAAGTGTGAAAGTGGATAATGGATCCTCTATATCACTTGATCCTGTATTATTGGTACTATTTGAATTTGACTTTGACCGTGAGATATCAGAACCACCTATAGTTCCATATATTGTTAACATGCATGGTGGATTTTATTCACTCTACGTTTACTCAGATATTGTGGAACCACCTATAGTTCCATATATTGTTATCATGCATGGTGGATTTTATTCACTCTATGTTTACTCGGATATTGTGGAACCTGTTATTGCTAGTGATGCATGTTGCGATTCAGTTAAGTTGAATGTCAGGATGGAAATATGATCACTAAAACATTTACAAAGCCCCATTTCTAACCAACATTTTCAGACTATTGAGATGGATATAAAGGACGACATGGGTCAACCTATACCATTTGAACAAGAAAGAGTCATCATAACACTTCATTTTCGTCAGTATGTGACATCATGAGAGAACTTACTATCAGAACCAGCCGTTTATGATGCGTACTAGTACTACGGTTACCAAATGGGAAACGGTTTACCTTAATTTGCTGGTAGTCAGTGGCAACATGGTCACAGATTGAGACACGTGTTGAGCAACCTGTATCGTTCAGCTACCATTTGTGAAGAAAGCTTCATTAACCCTATAAAAATTTAGCATCAGATGCTGGAAAACAGTGAGCAATACAAAGAGCTCGGAACTTGGCTCGAGATGTCAAACAGATTGATCTACCTAGTAAAGAGAAGAAACAGAAAGGTCAGTTTTCAGAATCACTAAAACCAGTGCTGGAAAACAGTGAGCAATACAAAGAGCTCGGAACTTGGCTCGAGATGTCAAACAGATTGATCTACCTAGTAAAGAGAAGAAACAGAAAGGTCAGTTTTCAGAATCACTAAAACCAAGAGACAAAGAATATTTCTTTCGAAAAGCAACTATGACTCTCCTACTCAGTGTATAAAATCTGATCTAGGCTTATTTTCTCTCCCTCCCACACAAACCATGATTGCGGAAGGTCATTGGACAGAATATAATCCTTTATCATCAGGTTCAGAGGATGAATATCTAGATCCAACACAATCATATCTTCATGTGAAGGTATATAATTTCAAACTAGATGGAACTGACATTAAAAGATAAGAAAGTAAGACTACACCTGTTAGTCTGTTTTTCATTATCTATTTTCTCAAGTCGATATATACCTGATTGGCTAACTCATTTTATTGTCTCACAGTCTATTGGCTATAAGGTATATGTAGAAACTCTACTGAGTTATAGCGGAGAAGCTAAAAGAAGTCATTTAACATTCTCTATGTGGATAAAGGACACAACAAGTAGTTTTGATGAATTCAATTTTAATAATGGTGAGAACGAGGTAAGCAAAAACCAACACATAGATACATATGGTAGTCCAACTGTCGACCTGATCAGCCCATACATTCAGAAATCTTTTTTGCAAAACATGATATGGTCCAATGGTGTGAGTTTAAAACTTTGTCTCGTACAAAGTAAAGATGCGTTTTGTATTATGTCAAGCAAAGAACTGGGATTCAAGGCGATTCTACAACACATTGCATCAATGTTAGAAAAGTCAAAATCAATACATCAGTCGTTGTGTCACATGTTAAAGCCTTTCAGAAAGAAATGGCTAAATACAGCCTTGACCAAAATGTTTGTACTGTTATATATTGATGATATTGTCTACAGGCATAGAGTA